ACCGGCCAGGCAATCATCTATTGGGCTTTGGAGCGCCACTCCTCCGCTTAGGGAATCCGTCGATGAAAATGATGACACGGATGCTGATAGCATGATATTGAATTTTGGAGATGATGGAACAAACGCGAAGACACTACCGTCGACATCGACATCGGCCGTTGAAGAAGATAATAAAGCAACCGTGGCGAAGAACCAAGAGATAGAAATAAGTGCTGTAGAGGAAGATGAAGTTGCTCCCTTGGGATTATGGGGTTCACCAAGACTACAAGCAAGTTCGGGCCCAGCTGTAGATCCTGGACATGCGCCAAAGAGAAGGTGGACAGTTAACGAAAGATCATAATTGTCCACTGACATCAAGGAACGAGGTCATTCAATATGCGAATGGAGAGAAAGAAGAGGAGAGAAATCTGACCCGAGAATTGACGATACCACAGCATGGATCGATAGCTCTTCTTGCGCCTAGGGTAGGGTAGGGTTATGGATGGATGGGTGGGTGGAAGAATAGACTTTTGTGAACTTTTATTAGTTGATCATTTCATTGGAGCGTGGCGTGGGTGTACGGTGTTCAATAGGTCTAAATGGGATAAACCAAAAGTGTGCACGGATATGATAGCATGGCCAATCCAAACGATTTCATGTAAACAAGAGCTTGCAAATGGTCTAAGGGATGACATGCTGGTAACATCGACTGGATGGTTTTTGGTCATTGCATATGTTAATTAGGATAAGGGATCACTAGTGTAGCATCGGACGCAGGGTTATCTTTCTATTCAGATGTTATTCCACTCAAGATGTCTATTATGATTATCATTATTATTGCTACTATGTCACCCCGGGTGAACCTATGAGAATGAATGTAAGATGCCACCACCATGAGACATACACTTTTTGTGACTATCAGGTATTACGTGGATAGTCGAAACCATATCAGAATTGAATATCTTAGGCAAAAAGACTTGTTTCCCGAGATCCAACAGACCAATAACTATCGACCAACTCACAATCAAATGCTGGCAAATATCTATAAGAATGATTAGCGCAAGTCCTTTCAACAATTTCAAATCATATTAAAAGAGGTGCTGTATCTCATTGCTCATTCTCAAAAGTGGTTTGTTCCTCATCAACGACCCGAAGGCTATATGAGTGGTGCATGAAACTCGTGTCTAATCATTGCGGGATTGCGGGGTGGTATGGAAAGTCAAAATAAAGTTTGAGGGAAACGTACTGTGCCTGGAAGATGGTCCGGTCTTTGCATATAGCAAGAGACAACATATGGTGACGCTTGTGTTTGATGTCCTTCCTCGCACCGAAGTACGCAGTCTGATTGGAAGATCTCATTAAAATGATATGAAACAATATGGATGGTTGAGATTTTGAGAGTTAAATCACCTCGTCGACTTTCTCAAAATCTCAACCATCCATATTGTTTCACAGGGGGTAATGACACAGCTGACGGGCTGTCACTACGTTCTAAGAGAAGATTGTTAGCTGCATTCGACTTATATACAAATAATTGACATAAAATGTAGCTGAACAATCAGAGAGGCTCGCATGCGTAATATTTGTAACCATGTATTTTGTCTTCAAGACTAATCGATTTTTTACCATCATCATAAAGTTCCGTATCAAAAATTGCAAAGAAGAAAAAAGAGCACCGGACTTACCAAAGGTTACGATATCGCTCAATCATCGTCGTCATCAAACTCATCCAGTTGGAATACCTTGGGTCTATCGGCGCCGACGCCTGCGCCTGCATTCGCACTCATAGCGTTATTCCTTCTCTCCATATCCGCTCTGTGTTTCTCCTCTTCTTTCACTCTTTGCGCCTCTTTCTCCCTCTCTAAATCTTCAGCTTTCTCTCTCTTCTTTTGTTCTTCAAGCTCGGGATCCCATCCTTCAGGATCGATCCCACCGTCAAGCAATGCTTGGATATTTGCTAATGCACCCCCTCTGATATCCTCTTCACGAGCCCATGGCTGGAATGGACGATCATCGAGTTTTGTGTTAAGAGCCTGTACAATCTCTGCGTCAAGGGCCGTTTGCGACTGAGAAGGCTGTTGTGATACTTGATCTTGACTTGGAGCGGGCGGATTGGATCCATTAGGAGTCACCGAGGGGACATCTGTATCCATAGCGTTCCCATTCGCTCCATTGCCAGTCACAGTAACACTGGGTGTAGTGCTTCCATTTGTCGCAATTTCCTCTTGCTTCGGTGATGATGTTTCGGGTTTAGAAGATCGAATCTCTGGCGAAGCTGTGTATTTGGAAATTCTTCGCGCATAGCTAAGAAGTTCTTCATACTCTACTAAATTCTTGTTCTCTGGATAATCAGAGGATGGGGTGCTGAGAAGTTCACTTCGTGTGCTAGTAAGAAGGATGAGAAAGTCGCGAATTTTCGTATCGAGGGCTGCAGAGGTTGCATGGAGAGTACCAAGCTTATGGGTGTTCTGCTGATGCTGGTTCACTGTGAAAAGATTGTTAATGAATGAAATTGAATGGCAGGTATTAAAATGGCGGAACAAGTATAAAAGGCTAGACGTACAAAGTGATAATCCATCATTAAGTTCTTGATCCGCAAGAACAAGGTCTTGGGCTAAAGCAGGTACAGGACTATACTTGGAGATTGAAGCTATTAGATTGACAAGAGCCTTTTCGACTCGATCGAATCGTGCATCAATTATTTTGTCCATCTTTGATTGTTTCAAATAAGGAAGGGGGGAGGTGAGAGGAGGGTTGTTGTGTGTTTATGACATGTTTGTGCTAGTATCGATATCCTATAAATAGGAAGTCGAAGGATGGAAGTGATATAAAGCCGTTCCGGAAAATATTGGGAGTTCAACACCTGACAGGTGTGAAATATTCAAAGAATTAAGAAAAAGTTTGAGGAAAAAAGTAGGATTAATAAAAAAAATGAATGAGGTATTTCAAAGACTTTTACTCAATTTATACAGTGAAATTTTTCGGGATCTCTAAGGAAGAAAAAATAAGCGCAGTCCCCACCATAACCTAAGCGCTAGGTTGAACGACAGTATCAATGTCACATGATCTCCAAGCTGCATTGAAGACTTTCTTTCCTCAACAATTAAAAATAAGTCCTGACAAACCACATCATCTTTCACAAGATATACGACATGGTAATAAAAAGACATCGAGAGACGGTGCTGGAACCGGCAAGGAGTACTGACACATTCTTCAGTAAGTGCTCATGGCAGTAGAAAGATATTTCTGTCCAGAAAAAAGGAGAATATTTTTTTGGTGACAGATCAAAATTAACAGAATTAGGTGACCCGAAGCAATAATTTGCCGAGGAGATAATTTCGCGTTCACATACTTGCATTTTGTTCATTTCATTAAAAAGCCCTAGAAAGTTTTCAAGCTTAAGGGAATTACGATTGATATCAATTCCTCAAACGGCTCAAGGCTGTGCTATACTCAGCGAACCGACCGCCTACCCTCATTCGATGACTCTCGGGTTATGGCCATTGAATCCAAGGAAGAAGTGTTTCTTTGTTGTTTCTATATTGTTTTCTTTATTCTTTCTTTATTCTTTCTTTATTCTTTCTTTATTCTTTCTTTATTCTTTCTTTATTCTTTCTTTATTCTTTCTTTATTCTTTCTTTATTCTTTCTTTATTCTTTCTTTATTCTTTCTTTATTCTTTCTTTATTATCGGGAAAATCTCATAGCTTGAAAAAATTCATCTACGCCGGTACTGTGTGTCGATACCGGTGACAACAGCATCCGCAAATCCATTGGTGAATATTTGCCGAAGCATTGCATTTGTCCTCAAAGCATTAAGTAGGCGCCCGCTATTGTCGAATTCTGTGGCGGTGTACAGAGCGTCATGAGCAGATCGACTATGTTCTTAGTAGCTGGTATGTTAAACCCAAAGTCTACAATCTACTACTGACTAGTCGTTCTAAATTTGTCTATTTGATATGATACCCGAAATTTTGTCATCTCCATCAGATAGGAGCTCGGTTCGCCTTTTGCAAGTGCCGGTTTTTCCTCTGAGGTCACTCAAGTGGTACATTGTTGTTAAAACCGTTTTTCGGGCTGTTATCACTGGAGAACCCTCTTAGTTGAGACATGTTGATACAAGATAATTTTTCGTCGGATGATGAGGCCCTCTACTTTCCGAATGACAAGACGCATGTTCGTGTGGTGATTATCAAGTCTTGTAAGGGTTGATTCTGTTTTTCTAAATATCAAAGTCATCATTAAAAGCGTGTTCAAAATAGTGTTCATTTTGGAATTCTTAATTAAGTGTTTCTCTTTGGAACTTGAATGCAGGATTCATAGGAGAATGGTTCTTCTTCTAAGTCCAACTTCTCATCTAGTTTAAGTGAATTAATGTACAAGTACATACAATTTTGAACGGCAACTTTTTTTTATGGCTTGTAGGGCAGAAGATGCATGGAAGTGGACGCAAACGCCGTCGTACTAATGAAAGTAGTCTTAACCATCTTCTTATATTTCACCAAGTTTCCGCAGAACTTGTATGGTTACTGTAATGCATCTCCGTATCTTCACATATCGTGGAACAATAGACACTTTCGTCAGCCATATGTCATGCAACTCTTATTGAAGCTGATTATAATCGATTTGCCCCTGGCAAAAGAGGAATATACTAAACTAATTACTCAAGTCGGGAGCATTAGCTACTTACAAACTTTAATGGCACCGACTGCTGAGCTCTTTAATTTTGAGACTTCCAGGAACTCGTACATCACAAAGGTCACACTTTGATTTTATCACGACCTAATTTAGAGAACTATCGTCAGACTCATCACAGGCAATCGATCACACTCTACGGAACGCTCACAAAGTAGTTCAATCACTATTAAATATTTCTTCGGAAAATAATGGAAGAGAGTAAAGGGAAATAAGAGATGTGGGAAATCAATTTATATAGTTTATTATTTAACTTGTTTGCTTGACTTTAGGCCGATTGCCAACTATGTCAAGAGAGAAAGCAGAACAGAGGCAATTAACTACACATCATGACTCATTCTCGTTTGAATTGGATGAATTTTTGCCACTATTGCTGCCTTCGTCCTGATCAGCTTCATTGTCATCTGTGGATTCAGAGTTACTCGTAGTTGGCTCTGATTCTTTGGAGCTATCCTTTCCCTTGTTCTCCTCAGCATTTTTCGCAAGATTGATGAGACGAGCGCGAGCCCAGTTGACGAAATTTTCATGACGTGCTGCATCATCTTTAGTTCTCTGTTCAAAAGCATCTTTGTCAGTTACCATGTCGGCACAATAGTAATAGGCTTGCGCTGGGCAACCGAGCCACATGAAGAAGTCAATCGTACTAAGATGTCCTTCACCAAAGCCGATCGGCTTTGCGACATCTTGTCGTAGTTGCGCCAGCAATTCATCATGTTTGGCAAAACATGCTTTTTCCACGAACTTAATACACACATGTATCCAGTTGAGAATAGCTTGAGGATCAAGAGAGCCATGGTGGTGTCGAAATTCAATGGTGCGTATCCCATCTTGGTAAGGAGTTTTTAGACCCTCTATGTTGAACGCGAGCCGACCTGCCATTAATGACTCACCAAAATCTTCAATCAACGACTCATTATCGGTGTATGCTAGTATCTTTTCAAGAACTTCGACTCTTGTGAGGTCAGGATTCGCCATAGCAAAACGACCTTTCGAAAAAGGAGGGCACCAGTCACCTGATACACGATCTGGTGAAAAGATCAATTCTGTTTGTGGCTCATATGTATACGCAATAGCTAAAAGGTGTTGAAGTTTTAGGAATTGAAAGCCGTTGAACGAGTTACCTACGTGAACGTGTAAACCTGCGGTCTCATCAACACATACCCTATAGTTTCCTCTTACCGTCCTCAACACTTCTCTGATCGCATTCCGAGCAGGTTCAGTGTAATAATAGGGAGGAGAAGTTATCTCCATTCCATTTCTATGGTAGATTTTGCTCTTATTTTCAGCAGGCCTGAGAGTGTCATCGCCAACAGTTGTATCTTCTTTCAAAATCCAACATTTTATGGACTCCTCATCTGTCATATCATTACTCGTAATGACTGCTGGTATACCAATTGCCGTCAACTTCTTGAGGATATCGCGATTGATAGCTTCTTTATCAGGGAATTTCTTGCCATCAACCTCGCGAGGATCTCTAGGATGGGGATCAGGCTTATCTGCATCCACTGTAGCGAAGATGAATTCGAGTTCGAGTCCGAATGTAAGATTAGTCTCGCCCTCCACTGGGGCAGTGTCTGGAATATTTTCTTGTGACATTGTATCTGAAATAGATGTTAATCTGTTGGTTGCTATGTTTAGGGCTGATTAGAAACAGGCATGAGGTTGGTGAATCTACTTCCGCAACTCAACAAGCATTTAAGTAAGTTAATAAAGGCATTGTTCTGTGGTAGTTTTGCAATTCGAAGGGGATTGGAGATTTGTCATTGATTTATATAATGCTTTGTTGATTCTTTGTTCTCAGATAAAGGAACTACTACAAAACATTGGTTTAATTTTACTACAGCTCCCGACTGCCAAAACAACACATTATTTACAATGATGATAATACGCTCGCTTTGAGAAGAAGAAGGATACAAAATTCTTCACTTATATACCAGAGTCAGGCCGAATTACTTTATCAGCTGAAGCATGGGAATTCCAAGCACACGTTAAATTCAATAAGTCGCCGTCCAACAGATCAACTAACTCACTTTCTCTTTCCAGAATTTGGACTGCCAATCCTTCTTAAGTATGCCAAGCAATATGACAATGCATGATCCAGGCCTGAATGCTGAGGAATCATATTAGTTTTCTGAATTTTCAAAGAAGATTCTACTCATATGAACTTTTAAACTTACTCCCGGATTATCCATGTAAAAAAATCACTACCCACCCATCTTGACCCAGGCAAATGTACCACATCTATTCGTGGTGCGTTAGCTAACGTCAAATTACATGTTCGTAAGTTCCAGTACCTTGACCAAAACCCCAAAGATAGTGACCATGGAGGTGCATGGGGTGTGATTGGGCATTGGTTGTTTCAATTATTCAATTAACCCCAACGTTAGCTTCTGGTAATTGATAAACTTCTTGTTCTGGTGTCCATGTATCATTGCCTTTATAAGACCGTAATAATGTCGGATAGTTCCACTGATAGAGGAAATAATGTTTTCCCATTTGCCAAATCACACCACTGGTTTTGTTGATGACAAACGAAAATTCATGCTCTTCTGCTGGAGAGTCTGATGCGATATGAAATACGAGAACTCATGAGTTCATCTTCACAAAGTTTGTCAGTTGAAGCGTTTGCCCACCGAACAGAAGTTGTATTATCGATGAAAGTGTTGGAATATCTGATAGGATTGATTTCTAATAGCTTACTACTATATATATACCTATAATAAAGCTCTTCTTTTTTAATCTTTTTATCTCAAAGATTAATTAAGGGATTATTATATTAATAATATATAACGTGGTTTATCATCGAATAGCCTATATCATCAAGTGGCTCACTTTCACCTCAATTTACACCTATCTCTTTCAATACACATTTTATTAACAATCTATAATGAATTCGAATAATCAAGAAGCTTATATACTTTTTATTATCAAAACTATTTATAAAAATAAAAAATTAAGTATTCAAAAAGTTATTATATTCTATAATATTCTTTATATAATTCTTCAATATAAAATGAAAAATTTATTTCTTTATATAAAAACTCGAATAAATTATTATAAGATTATAGAATTAAAAGAAAAAGTGATTATTTAATATATATTTAATATAAATTTAAAAGGATTTCTATTTAAATTAAAGAATATAAAAGATATAATAAATAATATTCTTGAATCAAGAAATACAAAATATATTAAAAAGCTTTAGGTATATCAATTTGTAAAATATTAAATCGAATTAAAAATATATTTTAATTATATTTATAATTTTCAAAAAGCTTTTTATAAGAATCCTAAGCTTTTTGAAAAGTGTTTTAATTAATTATAAATATATAAGTGAAATATAGTATTTTGAATAAAGATTTTTATAATTTCAATGAAATAGACTTATAATAGGAATTATATATATAATAATAGTAATAATTAGTATTAAATAAGATAATAAAAAACAAAACAATATAATTAGATAATTGAGAATGGATTATAATAATAATATATGAAAATAAAAAGAATAAAACTATTCCCCTATTTCTAATAATTTAAAAATAAGTTTATTTCTTTAATTAATATACTGAAACAAATCTTTCTATAGAATAAATTATTAAATCTATATTTAATAAGTGAACAAATAATAAAACAGATTTAGAATAATTGAAATATTTTGATAAATATATTAAGAATCGAAGAAAAAGCAAATATTGAATATTGATACTAAATAAATATAAAAGCCACAAATTAATAACTTTTTAAATATATTATAAAAAAAACAATATTATATATTTATATTTATTACTATATTTAAATTATTTAATTTAATTATTTAATATTGATTATTTTAGTAATCTAAATATTTATATAATAATCAAATTAATGGATTTATTAAGATATATATTAATTATATTTCGAAAATTGAATTCTTTATAACTTTTAAAATTATATATAAAGAATTAATTACTTTTTAGAATATAAAATCAGGATTTCAAAAAACAGATTTAATATTATTTAATTCTGAAATTATATTCTCGAAATTAGATATTCGAATTTGTATATTTACTTCTTTCTTTTTTGATTTAAATTAATAAATCTCTTAAATCCCTTATAATTCAATTAAAGTTTTTTCTTAATTAATATTAATTAAATTTTAAATAATTTATTATTAAGTAAGCTTTTTTATATCTATATTCGAAATTATATTAATTCTAATTAAAAATATAAAAAAATTAACTTATAAAAATATACTTTTAAATATAAAAATTTATATACTTTAAATAACAAATAAAATATTAAATAAATATTAATATACAAAAAAAAACCTAATTATATTAAAAAAGAATATTTATTAAATAAAAAACTTTTGATATATTATTTTAATAAAAGATTGATATTCAGATTTAATATAATAAATATCAAAAAAAGGGGAATTCTAATAAAAAAGCATTTTCTAATCAATATTATAATAAATACGAAAAAATAAGATATAATATAAGAATCTATTGAAATAATATAATAAATCCTAGATTATTAGATTACTAATAGTTTTAATCAATTAATTTAATTGTTATTAAATAATATAAATTTGAAAATATAAATTGAGATGAAAGTGGGCCATTCAATGATATAGGCCACTCGATGATAAACCACGTTAATCAATTATATAATTTATAATAATAGAAAATTCATCTATTATTTAATATTCTTATTATTAATAAATTCAAAATATTCAATTATTAAACAAATACATTCTTATCTTTAATTAATCTATTTTTCTAATCAATTATTAATTCAAATCTAATCAAAATAGATTCAATTAGAAATCCTATAATAATATCTATAAAATAAATATAAATAGAAATTATAAGCTTTGTTATTACACTATATATATAATCTATTCCAAAAGGTATAGTATTAGAAATCAATTCCTAATAGCTTATTACTATATATATATCTATAACAAATAGAGATTATATTTTATTGTAAAGATTATATAAGCTTTCGAAAATAATGTAGTATATATGATTTTGCTTTAAAGGGAATATTATATTTATATAATAACGAAATGGAGTGATTATATATATGTCTCTTTCAATCTTTATGGATTTATATAGATTAATTCCGGTATAGTATAAGGATTTACGGTCTTAAAAACATTCTAGACCGACTCCAAGCAAACCTTAAGTCTAATACTACTCTATTCGACAACCTCGTTGACAGTTATATACTAACGACGTTAAAGTTTTCGATCTTAAGCGTAAGAAGATTTACTCGATTACTTTGATTTAGCGAAGAGCTGTAGGATTATTCACTTTCCTCATTTAATAATCATTAAAATGATTTCAATTAAGTAAAGAAGCGCAGGAGCAGCTAGTATTATTTTCGGTAAATTATAAAGATTCTATACCGAAGTATAATTAATATTAGAATTCGATATATTACGGAGACTCTGTATATATCGAGACCGATTTGAACAAACCCTAAAAATAGATTTCTATCTGAGCTAAATACATATCTAGAACTTAGTAGTATACTTCAATTCCTTTAAGACTATATACTAAATTAAATATTTTCTTTAAATATTGTATGTATAAACAAGAGTATTCACTTTAAAGGAGTAACTTCAATACAATAGCTACTGTATTAAAAGGATTAAACGAATGCGAAAGAGACTAGCTCTTTCAGTAGTGTCTATATAAGGCCTACTACTTTCCTATATAGCTAGCTCTTTAGATAGAATACAATTAGATATACAGAACCTACAATATGTAGATACTACGTCTTTTGTATTCTTCTCGAATCAATATTATAGATACTACTTAGAGTTATAGACTAGCAAAGTCGATATCTCACTCTGTACGTAACGCCGACTACAAATCTTTAATCTTTAATTAAAAAGCTGATAAGATTAAAGCGTATTTAATAAAACTGAATAATATTTATATATCAATTTGAAGTTATACTAAAAATAAAGATATATACAACAAAAGATTAAATCCCTTTATAATAGGTTTAGAACAAAGGACTATCATTAAAAAGGTTGTAAAAACCATTCGACAATTGAGAATTTATATAAAGAGTCCGATGTAATGCCGGCTCTTATAAGTCTGTGTGGGAAATAGAGTCTAAGGGGGAAGTATATATAGTAAGAGATGGACAGAACGCCTTTAGGATAATAGCATACAGATAACGATATCAATAACGCGTACTTCATCGCTCGATGGAAGTTCACACCACTGAATTCTAAATATGTTTTTAGCTCAGGCAAAAATCTATTTTCAGTGCATTGTCGGAATGGTCCATATCGGCCTCGGTACGTGAATCAGATGTGGTTGAAATATAGGTAAGCCACTCGTAGATTAAGGCACAAAATTTCTCAAACCATATTGAAAAATGCGGATACAAGTTGTAAATTAATATAGCCTATTCATTACTAGATGCCAGTATAATAACCAGAGTATTCTTCTCACTTTGCTCTCTTTCTCACCAAAGCTGCCTACATACATACACTTAGAAACTTAATTGATAACAGGAAAGGTGGCTTACTTCAAAAAGTTGGAAAAAAATCTCTCTCATTTGATCTATCTTTATAAACTCAGGTGAAAGTTTAATAGTCTGTCGGTAAATTCGAAAGAGTTTTCTTTTTTCAGTCCGTGACATTTCACTTGTCGTTAAGAGTGTTGTATCGGTGGCCGCGACCGAAACGTGTTGTTCAATGGAAGAATTGAGCTGAGCCTTAGTTTGGATGAGTTTTTGGCTTTTCACTGATGTGATTGAAAGGTTACTACCACAAGCGTGTCATTCTTGGGAAGAAACGTACGTACATTCGTGATTGGACTTTTTGCCACTATGCTGCATACTACTTTGACTAGCATTACTTTTCACCATAGTATTAGGGTCAATTTTATCATGTTTCCCAACTTGATTATTGGAGGACGTAGCAGTCGCGGGGGCTGCTGTAGCTTCCTTACCCTTATCCTGCCCGGTGTCAGTTGCAACCTTCTGAACATTCGAGATTTTTGAAGGTGTAATGAGTTTCGAGCTTGAGCTTTCAGTAGACGGGTTGGGGATATTAGATCTCGCTTTCTTGTCCGAGTTTTCGTGCGAACTTTTGCCTGTGACAACATGCATGCGAACGGTTTCCATAATCATAGAGCTAATCTTTTTTTGGTCATTTGCCATGATACTCTTGCCGCCATCGGCGGTGATGCGCTGCCGCATTCTGATGCGCAAACATTTTTCCCCGAGATTATCTAATTGCTTGCACTTTGTTATATTTCCGTTCACCACAACCCGAGCTGTGGGACAAAATAACAGTGCCTCTCCTGTTCGAAGTGCGACAATTTCATGGAACAGGTCATCGCGATCTGCTCCTGCTAAATGTTTTTTGAGAGTGCTATACCAAGTAGGAGATTGAAAACGGTGAACAAACGTCACATTTGCCAAATCGATCAAGTCAGGTGACAGAGTCGGCTCTTGTGTTGCAATGAGAACGCGAGTTCCGGTATGCCGCTGCTGTCGAATGACTGACTTGAGTTCATTTGTAAGTACTTTAGCGTCGCCCGACTGAAGTAGGAACTAATTTTGCAATACAAATATCGTCAACCGCAATATCCTTAGTATCTATGGATATATTGCTGTACTTACTTTGTGTGCTTCATCCAATACGACAACCTGTCCGCATTCGCCCCTTTTTTCAAGGAAAATAGAGAGGCAAATGGAGAATAAGCAGCACGCATCACCGGTACTCATGAAAGGATCACTCAGGTCAATAATCGTCAATGATCCCGGCTGGAAAGACCATATATTTTCTTCAGCTGCGGCTGGTTTCATGATCTTCGTCTTCGTAGATGGCACTAGAAAGGTGTCGAGCATTTGAAGTCGCATATTAAGAGGTGTCTCTTGCCCTGCAGTCCAGCGTACATCTGCGAGCCGTTTCCGAAAAAGTGTGTATGTGAACTTAACGCCAGACATAGCTATCTCTCGAATAATGCTCATGACAGCTCCCATATACAGAGGTACGTTGTCAGCATTCGGATCGAAAGCCATGAGTTTAAGAATTCTGGAACTATCCAACTGGTCTTCATTGAGATAGAGCGGGACGACACGCAGGGGAAATCCACCATTGTTATGTGATGAAAGTTCCCCATAGAGTCTTTTCATCGACCATATATTCGATGGTGATACCATGATTGTGACAGGAATTCCGGATGAACACAGATTAACGGCTTCGCATAGTTGACTCGTATTACTGCTCGTGAAAGCATCGTAATGCATGACTAAACCAGCCAAGGGACTTGGAAGCTCGCCTGCTGAATTGTCTTTTATCAAGGATGATTCCAACAAACAAGACAATGTATGGCTCTTGCCAGCACCTTGTGAACCGCAGATGAATGCGGACCAAGGCATATTCAGGTTGGCAAGAAGCAGTCGGAGCCCAGCTTCTACACTGCAACCTTCTTCTCCCACTTCTATCCCGAGTAATCCATATTGGGGTGTTATGTCTGGAATTGTGGTTAAAGACGCGCTCGCAGACCTAATGACGAGATCATAGGCAGCTGCGCTGAATATGGGGGCACTCAAGAAAGCATCGACTTGTTGTTTAATTTGCGAACTTGATCCATTGGAATCCTCATGACTACCATCACTTATATGGGATAGTAATGGATGAAACCTATTCGTCTCGGATGTTTGAAAAGAATGACATTGTTTTAGTTCCATTTGATAGTGCTGAGCGTTATGTACGAGAAATGTTGAAGATAAAATGTAGAAATGACTTCGAGGAATTTTTTCAATATACTCATATACTAGGTAAAAATTATTCTTATTTTCCATCAGTTCTTTTTATATGAAGAGGGGTTCCTAACTATATGAACTACCATCTACCCCGCTCTTTGTACAAGAGCGTGATCGTTTTCCCATCATTACAAATCACGTGAGATAGTCCACCAGTGTGGGTGTACAGACTCACGGCACAACGTGACAGGAAGCACAATTTCACACTCAAATTTAGTAGCTTCAAAATTCAATCAAAATTATATAATTCTTTAGTATAAGATTCATAAGATATAGAAAAATTGTATTCCAGAAAGAAATATTGAACTCTAAAATTCAATAGTATATTATCCCATCAAGATTGTTAGGGTTTAGTAGTAGGGAATACGTCGGAAAGAGATTAATAGACTTAGTAAGAGAGTTATATAAAAAGATATAGTCTAGTTTAACAGTGGGTCGCTTATATCAAGTAGATCGGATCATTTTTATCTCGAATTGTTTATTTTATATTCAATATACATTTTCTTATTAATTAGTTATCGAAGTTCATTTTAAAGAAAGATATATAATCTTAATTATTTAAACTATTAATCAAACAAAAAATTAATCATTTGAAAAGTATTTAATTTTAGTAATATACTTGATTTATATTAAATAGTAGAATTCGAGAATAAATTTAATATATTAAGAATTAAATTAAAAGTTATAATTTAATTGAATTAAAAAAGAAAATATTTATTCAATATATATTTGATATAGATTAATAAGGCTTTTATTTAAATTTAAAATATAAAAGATATTAGCCAATTATATTCTCAAATCAAAAAATGTAAAATATAATTAGAAATCTTTGAAATATATTGATTTATAAAATATCAAATTAAATTAAAAAAATATTTTGATTGTATTTATGATTTCAAAACGAATTCTTTGTAAAAATTCTAAATATTAAAGAATAACTTTTTCGAAACTTACAGATATATAAATGAACAAAAAATAGTATATTTAATAATAATTTCATAATTCCATATAAAACAAACTTTATCATATATAATTATATTCTGAACTAATAATAATTAATATTAAACAAAATAGTAAAGTAAAATAATATAATTAAATATAAAGAATAGATGAGTAAAATTATATATAATAATAGAAAGAATTAAAACTCCTCCTATTTCGCAAATTCAAAAACAAATTCATTTTCCATTAATTATTAAACAATTTTCTATAAAAATTCCTATTTAATCTAAATTGAATAACTATCTATTTATTTAGATATAATGAGAGTAGTGAGAAAATGAATATATAAATCCTAAGGTGAAATAAAAGTAATATTGATTATAATATAAGATTTATAATTTATTAGAAATAAACAATAAGTTCTGTATATATAAGTAATATATATAGATTGTAGTATATTATTGTTATACAATTTCCTAGGATTTCCTTTATAAATTTTGTATTACAATTATATTAATATAAATTCTAATAGAAAATATTATTATTTTTAAAACTGTATTATTAAATTATATAAATATTCTTATTTACAAACTATAAATACAAAATACTTAATTTCATTAAAATATAAATTCTCTTTTTACTTCAAAATTATTCCTTGAATTATACTAATTTATGCTTTTTTAATTGAATATATATTATAATGATAAAATCCTTTTTATTTAAAAGATTTTTATTTATTTTATTTTAAATTTATTTCTCTTATTTTTCTTATATTTAATAAATATAATATTATTTTGAATATACTTTTGATTATTTTCCTTAAGGATTTTTTATATATTTTTTAGATTTGAAAATACTAATAATTATATATTGTTGTCTTTAAATTATTCTTATTATTTTATAAGATATTTATTATTGGCTTTTTTAATTTTATAAATTATTAATTTTTTTATTTCTGATTTCTATATATTCTTATCCTTTGATTCTAAATATTTTCTAATAAGATAACTAAAGTAGTTTATTTTCTTTTAATAAAGATATATAAAATTTATTATATGATTTTTTATATAAATCAAATAATTTTAATTTATAAGTATATTCTCCTATAATATTTAATATCTTAAATAATCTAATTATTCTTAGATTTAACTTTTTTTGTATACCTTTTTTTCTAAATCTTATTAATTCAAATTCAAATATTTTTTATCAATAATAATATTTAATCCCCTATAACAAATCATATTTGTTTATATCTTTTATTATAATATCTTTATTATTCTTCTTATATTTTTATTTATAATATCCTGAGGTCTTTTTAGAGTTTATTTAATATTTAATACTTTTTCTAATAAATCTATAATCTCAAAATTCCAAAATAATTATAAATTGTATTTATAATATAAATAAAATAATAAACAATTTAAACTAAAATATATTAAATTATTATAAATAAATTCAATTATAAATAATTTGATTCCCCGTTTTCCTTATTTTATTTCAATATATATTCTAAAATAATACTCTAATATCTGATTTTGTTTTTCTATTTGTTTATTTATTTATAAATAAAATATAATATTAAATTAATATTTTATCTTCAAATAAAAGTAAAAGATTAATTAGAAATTATTAATAAATATTATATTTCTATTTAATACAATATCCCTAAGGATTTTAAAATTAAAAAATACTTTGAATTATATCAAAAATATTAAATAATATCGATTGTTTTGTAATAAAATATATAACAAATTGTTTTCAGGAATTTATTTATTATTATAAATATATTATTAAAGAACTATTTTCTATTTCTATTAATATCTATAGCTCTTTTAGGCCCCAGACTCTTAATATAATCTTTTGTATAATTTACGATTCTATTTAAGATCTATTAATGTTGGAACACGTGACTAAGAACATATGACATTCTCCCCCACTTATATACGAAGTGTATATTTGAAGTAGAACGCGTATATAGCTTAGTAATACCCCTTTGTACGAAGGGAATAGATATGAATTATAATACTATTAAATCTAATATACTCTCTTACTAAGTCAATTCAACATTTAATAATAATAAATATTTTAAAAAAAGATTAATAGATTTAATAAGAGATTATATAAGAAAAATATTAAATTCTAATTAAGATTAATTTTATATTCTAACGTGTTTTATCACCGAGTAGATTATATCACCAAATGAATCACTATCACCTCAATTCTTGATCTCTCACTTCAATATACATTTTATTAATCAATTGAAATATAATTAAATAATAAAAAAGCTTGAATATTCTTAAATATTGAAATTATTCAAAAAAACAAAAAACTTAGTATTTGAAAAACTATTAAGCTATATAATTTATTATATATAATATTCAATTATAAAATAAATAATTTTATTTTCTATATTGAAATTTAAATGGATTATTATAATTTTATAAAATTGAAAAAGAAAATAATTATTCAATATATATTTGATATAGATTCAAAAGAATTTTTATTTAAATTTAAAATAATAGAAGATATAATAAATTATATTCTTAAATTAAGAAATATAAAGTATATTAAAAAGCTTTTAACATATTAATTTATAAAATATCAAATCAAATTAAAAATATATTTTAATTATATTTATAATTTTCAAAAAGTTTTTTATAAAAATTCTAAATTTATTAAAAAATAATTTCAATTAGTTTTGAATATACAAATAGAATATAGTATTTTCAATTATAATTTCTATAATTTTAATAAATTAGATTTTATAATAAATATAATATATCATAAGATAATAATAATTAATATTAAATAAAATAATAGAAGTAAAGTAATATAATTAGATAATAGAGAATAAATTATAATAATTATATATAATAATAAAGAAAATAAAACTATATTTCTATTTCTAATAATTTAAGAATAGATTTATTTTTTTAATTAATATATTAAAACCAATTTTTCTATAGATTAGACTATTAAATTTATATTTAATAAATAAACAAATAATAAAATAAATTTAGAATAATTGAAATATTTCAATAAATATATTAAAAATCGAAGAAAGAGCAAATATCGAATATTAATATTAAATAAGTATAAAAACCATAAATCAAAAGCTTTTCAAATATATTATAAAAAGAATAATATGAAATATATATATTTACTATTATATTCAAATTATTTAATTCAATTATTTAATATAAGCTATTTTAATAATCTAAAATATTTATATAATATTCAAATTAATAAATTCATTAACGTAGTTTAACACCGAGTGACCTATATCACCAAGTGGCCCACTTTCACCTCAATTTACACTTTCAAATTCATATTATTCAACAATAATTGAATTAATTAATTAAAACTATTAAGAATCTAATAATTTAGAATTTATTATATTATTTTGATAGATTCTTATATTATATTCTATTTTTCCATATTTATTATAATATTAATTAGAAAATACTTTTTTATTAGAATTCCCCTTTTTTTAATATTTATTATATTAAATCTGAATATTAATCTTTTATTAAAATAATATATTAAAAGTTTTTTATTTAATAAATACTTTTTCTTAATATAATTAAGTTTTTTTTATATATCAATATTTATTTAATATTTCATTTGTTATTCAAAATATATAATTCTTTATATTTAAAAATATATTTTTATAAACTAATCTTTTTATATCTTTAATTAAAATTAATATAATTTCGAATATAAATATAAAAAAGTTTAATTAATAACAAATTATTCGAAATTTAATTAATATTAATTAAAAAAAAGTTTTAATTAGATTATAAAGAATTTAAGAGATTTATTAATTTAGATTAAAAGAAGAGAGGGTAGATATACAAATTCGAATATTTAATTTTGAGAATATAACTTTAGAATTAAATAGAATTAAATTTATTCCTTAAAACCCTACTTTTATATTTTAAGAAATAATTGATTCTTAATATATAGTTTTGAAAACTATAAAGAATTCAATTTTCGAAATATAATTAATATATATTTTAATAAATTCATTAATTTAAATATTATATAAATATTTTAGATTATTAAAATAATTAATATCAAATAATTAAATTAAATAATTTAAATATAATAATAAATTTAAATATATAATATTATTTTTTTATAATATATTTGAAAAGCTATTAATTTGTAATTTTTATATCCATTTAATATTAATATTCGATATTTGTTTTCTTTTCAATTCTTAATATATTTATCAAAATATTTCAATTATTTTAAACTTGTTTTATTATTTGTCTATTTATTAGATATAGATTTAATAATCTATTCCATAGGAAAACTGGTTTTAGTATATTAATTGAAGAGATGAATCTGTTCTTAAATCATTAGAAATAGAGAAATAGTTTCATTCTTCATATTTCCATATATTATTGCTATAGCTCATTCTCGATTATCTGATTATACTGATTTACTTCTACTATATTTCTCAGCACTAATAACAATCATTACTATATATATAATCCCTATTATAAAGCCTGTTTTATTGAAATTATAGAAATCATTATCCAAAATACTGTATTTTGCTTATATATTTACAACCAATTAAAACCATTCTTCAATAAACTTAGAATCTTTATAAAAAGCTTTTTGAAAGTTATAAATATAATTAAAATATATTTTTAATTCAATTTGATATTTTATAAGTTAATATGCTTAAAGCTTCCCAATACATTTCGCATTCCTTAATTTAAGAATATAATTCATTATATCTTTTATATTCTTTAATTTAAATAGAAATCCTTTTGAATCTATATTAAATATATATTGAATAATTATCTTTTCTTTTAATTCTATAATTTTATAATTATTAGTTTAAATTTCTATATAAAAAAATAAATCTTTTATTTTATATTAAAGAATTATATAAGAGATATTATAGAGTATAATAGTTTTTTAAATATTTAGTTTTTTATTTTTATAAATAGCTTTAATAATGAGGAGTATATGAGCTTCTTGATTATTCGAATTCATTATAGGTTATTAATAAAATATATATTGAAAAAGAAAGATGTAAATTGAGATAAAAGTGGGCCACTCGGTGATATGGGTTACTCGGTATTAAACTACGTTAAGATATATATTAATTATATTTCGAAAGTTGAATTCTTTATAATTTTCAAAGTTATATATAAAAAATCAAGGTTTTAAAAAATAGATTTAATTCTATTTAATTCTGAAACTATATTTTTGAAATTAGATATTTGAATTTATATATTTATTCCCTTTTTTTTCAATTTAAATCAATAAATTTCTTAAATTCCTTATAATTCAACTAAAGTTTTCTCTTAATTAATATTAGTTAAATCTCGAATAACTTGTTATTAATCAAACTCTTTTATATTTATATTTGAAATTATATTAGCTCTAATTAAAGATATAAAAAGATTAGTTTATAAGAATATACTTTTAAATATAAAGGTTTATATATTTCGAATAACAAATAAAATATTAAATAAATATTAATATATAAAAAAAACTTAATTATATTAAAAAGGAATATTTATTAAATAAAAGACTTTTAATATATTATTTTAATAAAAAATTAATATTCAAATTTAATATAATAAATATTAAAAAAAAAGTATTTCTAATAAAAAAAGTATTTTCTAATCAATATTATAATAAATATAGAAAGATAGATTATAATATAAGAATTTATTAAAATAATATAATAGATCCTAGATTATTAGATTTTTGATAATTTAAATTAATTGATTCAATGGTTATTAAATAATCTATATTTGAAGGTGTAAATTGAAATGAAAGTGGCCTACTTGGTGATATAGCCCACTCGGTGTTAAACTATATTATCAAGCTTTTACTAAACTTATGGGAATCACGGGTTCATTGCTGCTGTGCCGAACTTTTAGCCCAGTACATTTTTCAAATTCAGTATCGTCTTGGAAAACAAAGCAACGCGGCTAGCACACTCAGTCAGTATGAACTTAGTGAAGGAAACTTTGTAGACCTCCCCCCTCTTTACAAAATGGAGATTCTCGAAAAAGCTACATCATTTTAGCTGAACATAGCAAAGTGCTCATCGGATAGTCTAAAAGCCTCGCATAAGTTGGGTCTCTCATCACCGAGTCTTCTGATTCGGTCAGTAACCCAGGTCCACAAGTCTTGACCCCATTAATTCGATCTACATCGCTCTCTAGATTCTTCGAACACTCTACTGCTATCAGGATATATAGGGTGTTCTGGCCAAAATTTACGGGGAGAGTGGGAGGTACCTCCCTAAAAGTAGTATTCAAGCTTGTTTGACGATTCACTACTATATCTTCGTATCTGTCTCCTACTTTTTTACGTAGGTGAAGCTTTGCTATAAGAGACTGAATGCTCTTTGTATATTATTTCATATCAACTTCGGCACCAAGAGTTGCTGCAGGTACAAAAGCTTCTCTATTATGACTGTATGTATGAATTAACAAAAAACTATTTAAGTCTGAATCGATTATAAACTTCAACGGATTGTTAGACTTATAGGATCTAGCATAATGAATAAGTTGCTCAAGACCTACTAGATCGTGTCTTATTGATGAGTACTCTTGTGATCACACAATCAACATCCTCGTGTATAGAATTTGAAGACAAAGTTGAATCAGTCGTTTGTATCTATATTCGCAAATCAATGGAGAAATTCGGACGTGAATACACCTCTTGGATCCCAATCTCTCTTCAAGGCCATCAACTTAGTAAGCCTTTCGTTTCCTCGAAATCTCCGCTCAATAGGTCCAACTCGAGTACCATTCTGAAAATCTACAAAATTTGCCACATCATTACCGCGCATTATTGCAATAGACCGCTCATTGAATTCATCTACTTTCGATCGGTTCTTGGAATCAGTATGCCAGATGAAGTTGTTTCTAAACATATTAGCTTATCAGACATTTGTGAAAGTGAGAAGAATCTTCTACTTACTGCCAATACCTAATGTCGTGAAGACACATAGCTGACTCAACATCTGGCCTCTTTACGGGCCGAGAATCCCATTGAAAATTGAACGCAGTATTGATTGCATCTGAACATTCCGCAATCATCTCCTTCCAGATTGCAATTGTCCGAAGGAAGGCTTCTTCATCGAATTGATGCAGGCCAACAATACCGAATTGTTTAAAGTCTCCCTTAGCCGCGAGTGCTTCTCCTCTATCGCTTGCATTCTGAATTGGTACCGGCGCTCCACTAGCGATAAGTGATTTTAGATCGTATATATCTTTATATGCCAATGCCGCATCGTTAGGATTCCCAGTGTAACAGGCCGCAATAACCAAACAAGGATCTCGTGCCGATGGTGGAGCCATGATCATAAAACCAGCCGTTGCAAATTGATCATTGTTCATTAAATTTTTCATAACAGAAGTCACTTCGCAAGCACGATTAAGTGGAAAGACAAAACTTCCAACCCAAATGACACCTTCATCGTTTCCAAGATTCTTCAAAGGATGAATCTTTATTACGAGCTATGTTACGAGACCAAAATGTTGTCCAGCACCGCGTATGGCGTAAAGAAGATCCGGATATGTGTCATCAGTGACATCGATTAGTTCCCCATCTGCAGTTATGACACGAGCAGAGACAATTTAGTCCGAGCCAAAACCAGTAACCGAAGAAGTAATGGAACAACCACCGCCAAGAAAGTATGGGATAGCGCCCACCGTGTTACCGTTTCCCAAAGCTAAATGTAAAGTCAACTACACTTCCCAAGAGTTCTGGAGGTAGACAGAATAATACATACCAGTGAAGAACCCAGCTTCCGCAAGAGTTACTGCTACTTCTTTAGAGAGAATACTCCCTTTGATGATTGCAGTGCCAGACTCTACGTGCACCTCTATACCCTTGTATAAACTCAGGTCAATGATGATGCCGTCACTCCCAATAGTAGACCATGCACTGTGACCTCCGCTTTTTGTCACGAAAGATATACAGTATTTTGATGCCCATTTCACCTATTTCTGTGTTAGGAAGAGACCAATGCTCGGGTGGTTGAATCCTCATAGTATTTTGGCAATCAGTTTCTGAAGTAGGGAGTACGATAGCTCCAGGAGTCTTCAAATCAATGTCCGTCCATCGTTTTAGATACTCTGCAAAACTAAGATCATTGGGATCCGTCAAGATCTTGCAAGTAGAAGTCAAGACTTCTTTCAGCTCCGAGAGTTGAACAAGATCATTCATTTTTGGGGCGACAATATTTGGTCTTTAAATGACGGGGATGTCCAATAGAAGAAGGGAAATGATTGAAAAAGGACAGGAAATTTTACAATGTGAATATGATTTTGCTTGACAAAAATGTCCGAAATGTAAAAATTTATAGGATAAAATAAGTAAAACCAACATTTGAATTACCAATCTCGAGTAATGATAGCACAGCAGTATCCACTGGAATAATACCAAAACAGTAAACTGCTTACTTGACGAAGAAAGAAGAAGTCTAGTGCCATAAGCAGACATCAGTGAGAACGTAATAGTTATTGCACATGGCCTTCATTGACAAATTATCATTTCTAAACCGCCGCAAACCTGATGACACAATGAAGTGATAATACATTTTCACTGCGTACTAATACATCCCTCCATAATCAAACGCCTTTGCACCTCACCGTGTCTCTTTGGACCATCGCTATAGATATTTTAATCATCGCGTCACACGGATTGAATTGAAGATACCTCCGAAATCAAGAAAAATACAGCTTTATGGTACATAGACGACTTGCCTTTCCCTCAAACCCTTCCAGCGCGCCCGCAATCTCACATAATCGCACATGTCATGATCTGACGGAGGACATTGTGGGCTAACCAAGTCAAACCCTAATCGATTTTAATAGATCCATAAATCTTCTGGACAAAAGCCCAACAAGCAAAATATCCGATTGAACCTGATTCACTTATTAGGACCATCTCGTATTAGATTGTTGTGGATTATGGACTTACCAGTAAGGATGAAAAACAAAAACGAGATTAATGCACTATACCCAATGTAAAGTACACTACCCGCCAAGCCACCAAGTTGTAGTTTTGTTACCCAGTAGATCATGGCATTTGCAAATACGTAACCAGCGCTAGCACCGGCCGTCATAAATGCTCTCCAATGCCAGTGGTAATTCTCGCTACAAAGCAAGAAATATATCATAAGAACGGTGACAGCGGCACAGGTGATGATCATGAGACCGTAACATAAAAAGAGGAAGCCGAACATGTAGTAAACCTTTGAAAACCAAATGGAGGACATGATGAAGTAAAGTTCAACAAAAATTGCTCCAAATGGTAAGATACCTACAAGAAGCATGGATGGAATTGGGCGCATGTATGATGTCGAAGGTGGAATTTGACGTGGTATTTGGTTGGTACGGACTGGAGAAGCGATAGGTGGTTGGCGGAATCCAACCCAACTTCCGGCAAA